TAGTAAACTTATTTGTACAGCATTACACGTGTTTACGTCTTTTCAGTATTTCCAGTCAAAAGCTGGAGTTCCTGAAGGAAAATTCAAAAAATTAATTTTAGACGTTGCAACACGATGGAATTCGGTTTTTTTCATGATTCGAAGATTTTTAGAAATTATGTTTTTTCTAAGCCCAATTCTACTAAACGATATAACTGCGCCTAGTATGCCGACTGCCATAGAAATGAATATCCTTCGACAACTGCTTGAGTTACTACAACCATTGGAGTTTGTCACAAAAGAATCCTCTGGGGAAAATTACATAACCATTTCAAAAGTGATTCCCATGATTAGCTGCCTACTAAAACAACTGGCCCAAATCCAGCCAAGATTTGATGTGTTGTCTGATATAAAAGATGTGTTGCATGCAGAAATAGTTCGTAGATTTGGACTGATTGAGCAAGTTAAACCGATCGCCATTGCCACGATTTTGGATCCAAGATTTAAAAATCTTCATTTTAGCGATCCAGTCGCTTGTTCAAGTGCGATGGCAGAACTTAGAAGACTATCTAAGCCAGATATATCATCCAGTGAATCGGAAGGGGAGGTGACCACTTCTTTAGAAAATGAAGAAAGTTATGATTTTTGGGCTCACCATAAAATGTTAACTCACGGCCAAAAAAAGAAAAAATCATCTTTATTTGCAAATGATGAATTATCTTTGTATCTTTCAAACCCCGTATCTCCACTGAAGTCCAATCCTCTAGAGCTATGGGAAGATATGAAAACTGTTTTCCCTATGTTATACAAACAGTCAAGGATATCTTTTACTATGGTTGCAACGTCGGTTCCAAGCGAAAGACTGTTTTCCAAAGCTGGAGGAGTTATGACTAAAACAAGAAATCGTCTAACAGGTTCTCGTTTAGAGAAAATATTACTGTTAGCAGATTTACCCGAAGACCAATGGTTTTGACTTTTGAGTTATTATAATTTTTTTAATAATAATAATATAATATAATTTGTAATTTGTATTTGTATTTTATATTTTTTTCGATACCTAATATATAATAATATAACTACGATACCTACTTATAGTAAATATGATTTTCTTGTATATTAAATGAGTTTTTTTTATGACGGGGTATAATCAGAGATGTGTTTAAACACCAGTCTTGTAAAAAAATTGCTTTTTTATATAGTTATATAGCCTTGACAATAATGCTCTTCAAAAATCATAACTACTTTTAGTTGAATGTTAGAAAAATGTCATATTCTAAAATAAACCAAGATTTTGAATTCTTTCTTAAATTGAAAAAAAGAATGCAATTAAAGATTAAAGCCCCATTTACACGG